TAACATGGGGTTCTTTAGATATACTTTCAATTGATATATCATCCAGATACACAACTGCAAAATCACAATCTGCAAGCTTGTTGAAATATAGCTGCAGTCACTTTTATCCCAAAAGGAAATCAGTCGAACTAATACAGTCCCTTGTGTGTATTTATAGTTGTTAACTCTGAACATTCTTCTTCAACTTGTATTTGCAAATACATTTCAGAAAGATCTAGCTTTGAAAAAATTTTACCAGTTTAAATTTGCAAAAATTTCCTCTGGACTTGGTAATAGGTAGTTATGGGGTTCTAAACATTTGTTTAACCCTATCAAACAATCAGCACAAACACAGACTTTTTCTTTTTTTTCTTTTTATACACTGCTGGTGCTTCCCATTTTGAATGGTCAATCTTTTCAGTTACACCTATTTTTTCAAGTATGTCTGATTCTTCATTGACTTGATCCAATGCTGCGAATGATACACTACATTTAAGTTTAAACTCTGGCATCAATCCTTTTTTTACTTACAATTTTGCTTTGACTTTGGAACACTGACCCAACTCACCTGAAAGAACATTTGGAAAACATTTTTTTCAATTCTCCCATTAAATTTTCACTGTTTTTTAAACTGGTTGCTTGTCCACTTACATTTTTGCAATAAATATTCATGGGTAAATCCCACAGTTCAAATAATTCCATCCAGTCAGTACCGAATAAATTTGTAATATTTTTTAACACATAAGTCTTAGGTTTTGCACACTTGTTATGGAATGAGACATTACAAGTCATTTCACTTATAAAAAATAATTTCTCACCTGACATGCCATGTGCAATTTTCAAAGTTCTTTTTAATATAGGATTTCAATTTGCTTTCCATGTGGCTTTGTTGATTATTGTGATATCTCTACCAGTGTCTAGTTGCATTTTTACATCCACATTGTTAATTTTCACATACACAAATTTTCTTTGGTTTACCATAATTATTTTTTCCATTGCAATGCTGTGTACAAAATTTTTTCTATGAGAACTTTTACTTGCTTTAGTTTGACAGTGTGACTTTTAATACTTTGAATTCTTAAAGGGACAGTCGGCTCTGAAATGTAACCATCTACAACTGAAACATGGATTAATTTTTCTTTTCCACATTTTTCTTTAGCTTGTATGTATCCACATTCTTTTTCTTCAATTTCTTTCATATTGTATCTCAGATTTCAGGATTCTCTGATATTCGTCTGGTATTTCTTGTAGTGTTAGTTTTTGATTCTATTCAAGTTTCATTAGAATTCTAGCATTTTTTTTTTTCTCAACTTCCCAGACACTGCATTCTTCTCTGAAAATTTTCTCATATCTTCTAAAATAAACAGAAAACGTAATTCCATCATCTGAATTGTAGGTGAATTCAGATGACATTTGCCACCATGTCTGGAGTGAAAGAACCTGGTGAATTTTCCGTATTATTTCAATTAAATTTTGTTGTTTCTGGAGTTCCAACAACTGCTGTTGTTGCTGTTGTATTTTTACCACTTGAGCTAATAATTCTTCCATGTTTTGAAGAATTTTCTTTTCTCTCTTTCTCTTTTTTTCCTTTTTTACAAACACCAAAGATAAAAAATTAAACCACTGTGCTTCTAATTTTTTGTTGACACTGTTATGATGTACACCAAAGTAAAAAGTTTTTTTTTCCTACTCTGGACAAGTTTTGACCCCTCATTACTACTGTTATAACTCACACCTAGCAGTTCTCATTATTAGAAATTCTCCTGACTGAATCCAACAGATTACCCTGATTCACTTATAGTTCTTTATTTAAGGTGTCTTGCCTAATTTGTTTGTGTCACTGGGGTGTGTTATTTACTTCACAACAACTTTAGAAGCAACACAATCATTTTGGTACACTTATACATAAATTTAAAAGTGTATTTTAAAATAGGTATTTATTGGGATGGCCAAAAAGTTTGTTCAGTTATTAAGTAAATTTTCTACTTAATAAAGCAAACAAACTTTTTGGCCAACCCAATATATATTTTGTATATTTTAGCTGATAAGTGAAACGTCAGAACATTGTTAGTAATTACTTTTTATTCACTAAATTGAGGAGTATTTATCCTTTTCTGCCTGAATTTCTGATATGAGGAGTTATTATTTTCACTATTTATATTCAGACTATTGTCCTCATTTTTCTCATCATTAATACATTTCTACTGTTGTGCCCTCTGGGTAACCTACAGGGAATTCTGAACTGAACCCTTTATTTAATCTATAGGCGTAGACTGTTCTTGTTTCATTGCCCAAGTCTAGTGATATTTTGTCTAGTTCTTATTTTTAATACTGCTCACTTATTGCTCGACCTGTTTCCGCTGAGTTCAACTTCACATTGCCTGGCTCAGAGATTCAACTCACAAATACTATGTTACTAAATTCACAAACCAACACTTTGATCCACTACAGGACAATGGCCTAGTGGATTAATGTGTTGGTTTGTGAATTTGTTGACATAGTGGTTGTGAATTCAATCCCTGGGCCAGGCAGCATGTATTTGGACTCAATGGAAACAGGATGAGCTGTACTGTAAAGAACTAGATGATATCCCAAGACATTGGCATTGGAATGAGAATAATCTACTCCTGTAGATTAAATAAAGGATTTAGTTAAAAATTCTTTGTAGGTTACCCAGATCAATATACATCTGAGCAAAACCACAGGGCACAATGGTTGAAACATTTTGATAATGGGGCATTGTGGGTAATCCATTCTGGTGATTATTTTTGCAGGTGTGGCTTGTTTGCTTATTTATTTTCTTTTCAGTTTTCGATATTTTATTAATAGAGTAAAAAATTTTGGGAGGATTTGTTTAGGTCACTTATTTAATATTTTGTTTTGGTCTGGGAAAATAAAGCTATTTGTCCAATTTTTGGATTGATTGCCGTAGTCTATTCTGCTATTTTGGTGGAGGACAGTTTTTAATTTGTTTATTTATTTATTTGGATCGATTATTTTTACTTGTTTTTGTTTATGATGTTTATTTTTATTAGTTCTAATAGTTATTTTTGAGGGAGTGATTTGTTAATCTGTTTATTTATTAGGATTAATTTTTTCTTTGCTTATTTTTTATTTTGTATATTTTTATTTACTCTATTTGGTTTTTGATTTTTTTATCATTATATACTAGTAATAGCTATTTTTGGATTGATTGTTGCAGTCTATTCTAACGGTTGTTGGTTTGTTAATTTGTTTATTGTTTACTTTATTTATTTTTACCTGTATTTTATGTGCTTATTTTTTATTTTTATTTGTTCTATTTTGTCTATTCTAATGGGAGTGGTTTGTTAATTTGTTTATTATTTGCTTGGGTTAATTTATTTTACTTTTTTTTTATATTATTTTGTTTATTTTTATTTATTCTTTTCAGTTTTCAATTTTTAAGTAACATAGTAAAAATTTGTTTTCATGTCTGCATTTTGAGATGAGCTTAGATCATTTATTTAGTAATTTATTTTGGTCTGGGAAGGTAATAATAACTATTTTTTCCTCCAGGCAAAGTTTGCAGATTTTGGATTGATTGTTGTAGGCTGATGATCTTTACTTTATTTTCCATGATATTTTTGGTGTGATTTGCATTTTGTTTTTAATTTCGCAGATATACTTAGAAAGCATCATGCTGTTTGCATATTTACTATTTGTGAAAGATGTTTTGTGTGCATAGTTTCTTTGTTTCCAGGGTCTTTCAGTTACTCCTATATATACTTTTTCTTCATTATCTGGTGATTTCACAGTAGCTTGGTAAATGACATTGTTTTGTAAACAATTACCGTTTAAAGGACATTCATTCTTTATTCTACAGTTACACGTATTTAATTTGTTCGGGTGGTTTGTTGATAGTTTTCCTGTTGTGCTTTTTTATTATTTGTGCCATATTCTCAGTGCAACTGTAGCTGATTTTTACAGTGTTTTTATTGAATATATTGTGTAGAGTGCTTGATTCTGGGCAATGTTTAAGAGTTTGAAGAATATTTTACTTGCATTTGTTTTTCCGTTTTTGTTGTATGGTAGGTTGAACCATATGATATTTCTCTTCCTGTTGGTCTTTTTTGTGCTCACCACTCACCACAGAGATTGCATCTAGCATGAAACAGCCTGTTGCCTCTGAGTGTTGACTTCAATGTTCACTTATATACATTTGCATGTGTGCGTGTATATTTTAGTTCAAAGACAACTAAAAATAGTTCTATAAAATTAAAAAACAATCTTCAAAAATTAATTATATTTATTACTGAATAATTTCTAAAAAGTTCAATAAAATCCCATTATTATTGGATTTTTAAGATTTAAAAAAAATTAATGTTTTTTTTTCCTTTTCTTTCTTATCTGCAACTTTGATCTTATTACTCGGTCCTGGTAGGGGGTGTCTAGACTGAGTCAAATTGTACATGTGAGTGCTTGTGTATACAATAAATGGTACAAGCACATGTAAGTCACTCATGCATAACAAAGTGCATGCAAAGTTACATGCAAACAGTGTGTGATAGAGAAACAACTCTTTTATATTGGTGATTTTTTTTTTCATATTTTTTCTTCTGCTCACATAGTTACATCTCTTATATCAGTGTGCTATAACACAGTTTAGAATTACTGACATACATTATCTTTTGATGCTTCTAACTCTTCTAAAAGTTTTCACATACTAATGGTTGGTTTCTCTTATACCTTGTATTTTAAAACATCATACTTGACAACTGATGGTTGTCTACTTTGGGGCATTATTTCAATGGACAAGTTACCAACCATAAAAGGCTTGAACCTGATTAGGCAAAATGGTTAGATATTTAATTTTCTACCATTTCCCAAATTTTGAAAGGTAGTAAAAAATCAGTTATATTCCTTGAAACATTTCTATAAGAATGTATGAAGTGTTAATTCTTAAATGTCCTAACCTGAAAGGTAGGTTATCAATATTTTTTTTCTTTGACTGCTTATCCTCAACATGCCTTGTCTTTAATTATGTATAATTTTCCTTTCAGTTTAATATGGCTGCAATCTCTGAAGTAGAAGATGTCAAACCTGAGATGAATGAACCAAAGCCACCATGTAAATCTGTCATTCAAAATAATACAGCAGCTTACGCTGAGAGACGTTTTGGTTGTAACATTTGTGGGGCCAAATTTGTAAAAAATTCAGGTCTTAATCGTCATTTGAAAACGCACAATGATGAAAAATCTTTTGGATGTGAGGTTTGTGGTAATGCTTTTTCCACAGCAGCTACTTTAAAACAGCACTATATAACACATTCTAAGGAAAAACCATATAGCTGTGAAGTTTGTAGTGCAGCATTTGCCCGTAAGGGTCAAGTCAAAAAGCACATGGTCAAGCATTCTAACACTAAACCATTTGAGTGTGAAGTTTGTGGAAAAACATTCTCGTTATCCTCAGTACTTAAACAGCACATTAGAACACATACAGGAGAGAAACCATTCTCTTGTAAACTTTGTGACGCAGCATTTGCTAATAGTTTTAACCTAAAACGGCACATGGTAGTACATACAGGAGAGAAACAATTCAGTTGTGATGTTTGTGAAGGTAGATTTTCTGATAAGACAAGCCTTAAGCGCCACTGGAGGACGCACACTGGTGAAAAACCATTCCCTTGTGAAATTTGTGGGAATGCATTTTCACGATTATCTGTGCTAAAACGACATTTCACAATACATTCAGGAGAACAACCATTCCCTTGTGAGTTATGCAAGTCAGCCTTTGTACAAAAAGCTGATTTAGAGAGACATATGAGAACTCACACAGGACAGAAACCATTTCATTGTGACATTTGTGATAATAAATTTGCTACACGTTCAGATCTAAAAATTCACATCCGAATCCATACAGGTGAAAAACCATATAGTTGTGATGTATGTGGTGCTGCGTTTTCTCGTTCATCAAATCTTAAACAGCATATAAAAACGCACACTGGTGTGAAACCTTTTGCCTGTGAGATTTGCAAAACTGCTTTTGCCCAGAAAAGTGATATCAAGAGACACATGCTGAAGCATACTGGTGAGAGACCATTCAAATGTGACATTTGTGGGACAAGTTTTACCCTTGCAGCCTATCTTAAGAAGCACATGAAAAGAAGACACAAGACTGGGACTCCTTATCCTTGTGAGATTTGTGGATCTGTATTTATGCAAAAATGTGATCTGCAAAAACATATGCATGTTCATACTGATGAAAGACTTTTCTATTGTAAGGTTTGTGGCTCAGCATTTGAGGAGAAAGCTAATCTCGAATTGCACATGATTACACACAAGGAAAATACTCAAGTTTAGCCCTCTGTTAGAACCATGGGGTGTTTGAACACTCCTCAAAATTTTTTTCCTTAATATTTAGCAAGTGGCAAGACAAATTTTCATGATTAGTTAAATAGTTTTCTGAATATCTGTCAAGTAACTCAAAGAAATTTCTGGTTTTACTCCTAATATTTGTGTGAAGTTTTATTTTGTTTACTGAAAATGAAACTATTATTGCATATTTTGTATTTTTGAAACTTAGGAATTCATTTTTTTATATTGACCTTTTAACTCTTGAAGATCTTGAGGTACAAAAAATTATAGCAAAAAGGAACAGACATGAGGACAAAAAGGGGAAAACAACGACAGTAGTTTAATGTGAAAAAATAAGAAAAAGAATAATAAGGAGAAAAAGATGAGCTAACCAATCATCACTCCTCACTCATCTGAACTCAATCAAGGAAAATAAAATTTTTGTGTACAACCAAATCAAAAAGAAAACATGAAATAGAAAATACACACATATCAAAAATATATTGAAATGGATATATCAAGATATTTAAAGACAAATCATGTTTTGTCATAGCAACTATTTATGTTGTTTGCATAAGGAACGTTGTCTTGACTTAATGAAAATAGTTTCAAGGACTTTTAAATTATAATTTGAATATCAATAATATATTGAGATGGATATATCTTTTTAAGATGAATTATATTCAGGCCCAGCAACCATTCATTCTATTTACATAAGAAAGATTGTTTTGACTTAATGAAAATAGTTTCAAAGTCTTTTAAATGCTAATTTGAATTTTCAATTCAAATTTAAAAAAAAAACTTTCAATCTTTTTGTTTTTATTTAATTTAAAAACCAGAAAGAATGCTCAAGACAATATATAACAAGAAAATTATGAATTAAATGATATATCTATAATATTTTAAATAAGGTGTTGAAAACCCTCCAGTTCTAATACTGTGACAACAGCCCAAAGTACTAACAGAGGTTTAAAGAAGGAAGGAATTGTTATCTCTGAACTGAAACCATAAATCATTTCATAGACATTATTTCTTAATCAAAGGTTAACAGTTTGAGCTGCATTATCATTTTAAGGAGAAAATACATGAAATTTGTTAAGTGTTTATTAGTAATGAGTAGTGCCGAAAGATCAATGGTATGAAGAATGGTTCAAACTGTGACCCAGTCACAGTTTGTTTTTGCTGTAATGCTCCTTGGAAAGCTATGAATCCACTTTTACCCTAACCCATAACATCTATGTGTAAATAAGGCCGTTGAATTCTTTGGGTTCTACACCTTGGGCTTACCAGTTAGCCCTGGATCACTTGATGTCATTTTAACTTTTTACTCCATAAAGAGTCTGTACAAATAACCAACATTAATTATTGTCTAATTATAATAAAAAGTGTCCAAGTCCAAATGTTAAGCCTTACAAATTAAAGGTTCTTTTTACTCTTGTAAAAATAATGAAATATTTTTATCGGAAATAAATCTTCAATTAAGTGGATATGATCTAATAAAATTTTCTTGTGTTCTCAAATATTGCCTTCTAATTTTTGTGCGTGATTATTATGAATTAATTTATAGTTGAAGCAGTATTCTTACTGTTCAAATTAAAAGTGAGACTGTGAGAAGGACTAACAGACAGACAGAGACACACACACGCACACACACAGAATTAATGGATTTTATTTTTAATGTTATTTTAAAATAATATTTACAAAAGTAAGAAATATATAATTAAGATAAACATGTTTAGTAGGTTCATGCACTTGAAAAGAAATCCCAGTTTTCTTTTTTTTTTTTTTTTTTTACAGTAAAATTAATGTTTACTAATCAAGAAGTTAAGCAAAAGAAAATGTGCTACCTAACAACATTTTCTTTAGGACAACTTATCAATTTTAGGCCAATAGACATTAATTTCACTGCTTTAAAAATATATATAGGGATGTCTACTTGAACATATATAAAGAATAACCCTGAATTTGAAAAAAAATAATTAACTGCATATATGGAGAGTGAGAAAGACAAAGGAACATGTGCATATCTAATTTTAAATGGGAATAAATTCTGTCTTATTTGTATATTGGTGGAGCTCGTCTCTTTTGTCTTCTTTTCTTTTTTGTTTATTTTTTTAAAGAAATTTTTGTACAGATGAGAACAGAAAATAAGAAAAAAAATATATATATTGTATATTTGGTTAGCAATCATTTTATGCAATGTTTCATTAAATATAGGCTTCCAGATCTCAAAAAAGGAATATTTTGTAATTTTATTTATTTTTTATTTTTTTTTTTTTTTGCATCCTGAGAATTTTTTTTAGGAGGACTGGGTATGTGGAGAAACTGTCCATAGCATTTATTTTTCCAAGTGCTTTTGGCTAATACTTTAGTTATTTTCAAGTACCTCATATGAACACAGGTAAACATGTTAGTTGTATTCTGAAACTAAGCAAAAATTCCACTAAGAATGAAATTACTACTCAAAAAAAATGCCCCTCACACAATACAGTATAAACAAGAGAACAAAAGTATATCAACATGGTTTGTTCCCATGAAAATTACTCCCCACCACCCTTGAGAATGGCTAAAGTATTAGCCAAAAGAACTCAGGATAGTGGGTATAAACACTATAAACAGTTTTTGTTAGAACAATAAAAGCTGATGTATCAAAATGCATTTCTTAAAAAAGAGAAACAATTAATAACAAAAACTGGTTAACAAAAAATACATATTACCATAGCATGGTACTACTGAAACCTAATAACAATTAAAAACAGGTAAAATTGTTTATTGGCCCTCTCTCATACTAACAAAAATTAAAGGAAAAAACATGTGCCCAGACTAATGTTTTATGCAAAAAATTTTTTTTAAATATTATTATTAAAGGCTAATTACTTTTAAGCCCACCAACTCCTCCTGCTTCTAGAGTGATGGTCGGTACATAGATGGGTGACCACTTGGGAATATCAGGAGCTGTAAGCTTGGATGTGCAGCTGGTGTAATGGATATTGGCTCAGATTTATTAATCAAAGAACTGAGTTTCAATTTCAGTTGGGTTTATGCACAAATACCCTTGGGAAAGGTATGGGGTAATTAGTAATTAAACAGTTATTATCTCAAAAAACATTTTCTGGCTTTAAATAACCTGCAAGGAGTTGAGAAGCCATAGAAAACAAATCAATTAACAAATTATTACAGCAAATAAATGAGCTTTATCATTAGTCTCCACAACACTCATCAGAAAAATTAGAATTTTTTGATAAGAAAACCTTTTAACATCCATAATTATAAAGCACTGAAATCTTAAGTTGATGGGGTTTTTTGGGGGGGAGAGGAGGTCAAATTTTAACAGCATAAAAAAAAGTGTTTTTTTTTTTCATATGGTTAGCCTTGTGTGTCTTTTTGGAATTCCAGATCAGTCAAGTTAGAATTTTGAAGGTAAGAGTTCATCAATTCTGTATTGTCAAATTTCAAATAAGTGTCGGGGAAGGAAGCAATATAAGACAGCATTGGAGGGGCCTAATCATAGGTCTCCACTAGATGACCATTTTCATAAAGTTAAAATTAATGTTTTTGTGGTGGGAACAAAAAGCTGCAACATTTTTCTTTCTTTCTTTTTTTTTTTTGTTTTGGCTTTACCTTTTCTTACTTTAAAATTATGGATGTCAACTTAAAATAGAGACTGACAAGAAAACAAAAGAAAAACCCAAGTGGAAATTTCTTTTACAGTTGCTATTGCAGATGCATAAAAATAATAAAATTAGCATGTAAGTGAGTATCCAAGCTTTTCAAATGTTGATTGTTAAAAAAAATACAGTTCTTTTTAAATCTTCCACAAAAAATTGAATAATTCTATGAAAATTTTCATCATTTGTTTGCTTTTGTCTTTTGTCTTTTGTTAGTTTTGCATACTAAGCTCTTTGTGGAACCCTTTT